TTTCACACAACAAATTGCCCAAGTCGTCGAGGCCTCTGGAACGAGTGCACTCTGACGTGTGGGGTCCAATCAATATCCCCTCTATTTCTGGGGGTCGATATTTCGTCACGTTCATCGACGACTTTACCCGATACACCTTTGTGTACATCATGCAAAAGCGCGCGGACCTGTACGACAAGTACAGCGCGTTCTGTCGCGACGCACGGCAGCGTTATCGCTCCGACGTCTTCGAGCTTTGCTACCATCACTCACCACCCAGTGAGTTCGAGGAAATCCAAGCGCTTCAAATGGACAACGCTAAGGAGTATGTTAAACTCGGGGCCCGTATTCAAGCGAATACGGCACCCGCCTTAAGTACACGAATGCCTATACCCCGACCCAGAACCCTGTGGCCGAGCGGCGGATGGGCATGATCGTCACCATGGCTCGCTCTATGCTACTGCATGGTAATTTACCACAGTTCTTGTGGGGCGAAGCAACATTTCCCACGCAGTGCTCCTCATGAACATACTGCCGTCCACCACCATCGGTGGGGACACTCCATATCGTCTATGGCACCAGAGCCATCCAGACTACGCACGTTTACGCGTATTTGGCTGTGTAGCGTATGCACACGTCAACATACCCATGCGTGTGAACAAGCTGTCTCCCCGAGGCATGCTGTGCATGTATATTGGCTTACCCGAGACATCTCGAGGGTTCAAGCTGTTGAACATCGACACACATTACGTGCTTACGAGCCGCGATGTGACGTTCGTTGAACATCAGTTTCCCCTCCTGAAATCAGTCGAGGATGTGAAACGTCTTCGAAGTGAACATCCACAGTGGAACTGTTTCACCGTGGACCAAAGCTCACCACCCGTCCAACCAAGCCTGCCTTCACCCCTTGGGGAGGCTGCACCGTCCACCACAACAACACCTCTACCCTCGTTTGGGGAGGCCGTTTCATGGACGCCGCCTCTACCCTCATTTGGGGAGGCCGTGACATCCACGTCGCCCTCATTTGGGGAGGCTGGGACATCAGCCCCCACCCTACTTAAGGAGGCCGATACGACCTCACCTTTACCCACACTTGGGGAGGCTTTACTTCGTGGGTCAACAGGTACAGTGTGGCAAGTCCCTGTCGTACATGACGTACCCGACATCACTCCACCTGTCTGAAGGGTGCTCACGGGTACAGATTGTATGCGCGATGTACTGGAGAGTCGTCCGACGTTGTGGACCACAACGTCGAAATTCGTGACACGGACCACCTGCTCGTCGGCTTGAACCCGACGTATGCTTCTGTACGTATACATCGGGGCTCGTATCGTTCACCACCCTCACGCCGCGCAAAATTTGTGTCGACATACAGTGTCGTGTACTTCTGTTTGCGACCAACGCGGTCTTCGCTCAAAAGGGATCATCCTTCCTGTTTTCGGATAAGTTTGGCTGTATCCGTATATTTTATCTTGACTTGAGTATCGTGATCGTGTGCGACTGGATGCAAATTTTTTTTTACAAATTCGGGCCAATTGCATGCATTATATTAGAGAGGTTTTGCAACTCATCCGTACATTACCCCTATCCTCACAAAATCGACATTTGTCGTTTTGAGGGTAATGACAATGATGAAGTATTATTGTGTTTTGCAATTTATCCCCATCATTATCCCCACAACAGCATCCGGATAATACGGTTAGTCGGTTATTGTACAATTTGCAGATAGATGCCCACGGTCCACACGAAATGCCCACGGGGTTGGCGTGGCTGTCGTGTGACGTCGCACGCAGGATGCACATACACCGCGCTTGACCTGGATCTTATCGGCATCGTTGTGTCGTTCATTGGTCCAATGAACGCAAACCGGATGTCGTTGTTCAAGCAGGACTCCGAGTCGACCGACGGCGCGATGAGGATGCCCATAGACCACACGCATTCGTGTTGCCTTTCCCTTCCATAATGTAACGTTAACAGCTACAGTACATAAAAATTTCAAGGTCGTCAGTGGTTTCGGCGATTTGGAGATCTAGCAATATCTCCACACCAGCCTCACCAAATTTGGAGGAGGACCTTATGCTTCCAAATGGCTGCGCTGCGTGGTCATCTGGATGTCATTCGACGTGGTCACGTCCATTGTGTGTTAACATCAGTGGTAACGTCATGACAACGTAGACCTTGGAATTCACACGCAGGAACGTACTGGTAACTTTGCACTGTTAGTTCTCCACATCTTCAAAAGTAGATACATGAAAGCATGTAGCTAAACCACAATGACTACGCAACTTAACGCTAGTTCTGTGTTGCCACACTCTAGTTTGTGAACACTGGTCAAACGATCAATGCCAGACGGGACACAAATCAACAAACTTCCTCCTGCTGTACTGTGGAAATAGTAGCTCCTGATTGGCTTGGTCGAATGTGATGATAAAGATAACTGTCCGTACAAATCGCCAAATCCACGACCTTGTCATTCGTTTTCACAGTATCATAAATTAAGTTTGCGAGGTACACTTCTGGTTTTGTCAGTAGTGGCTGAGGGTAATGATAAAGATGAGTAGCAAAACCTCTCTATTGAGCCCTTTGCGCACCTATTTTCAGATTTTTCTAATTTGAATATTTGCAGAAATACATCAATTTTTGTCAAATGTCAGGTCTATTCCGTCCGGAGGTACAAGTAGTAGTATTGATCATTTCAATACGATCGAAATATGTTATTACTCCGGGGTACTACAGAAACCCTTAGGGCCACTCTGGCTGCCACAAAAAATGTCAGAAAACACCTCTTTTTGCAACTTTTCAGAAATATTTTGACAATTTTTCAAACGACGGTTTTTGTGTGTTTGGCTACCAAATCTGACATATATAAAGAGACATAATACGTCGCGTTTTTTCTGTTTTCTGACAGAAAAATGTTTGAACTGCAACTGTCCAATTTTTACCTACATGTTATTCTATCGATAGTTCTCCTTTCCATCATGGCATCCAGAGCTCACATCAAAATATTTTGAAAATATTTTCTCGCCTCCCATTTGAAAAGGGAATTCTCTGTCAGAATATTATTTGACATAAAATTTTCTGTGGCATCCAGACTCGACCTTAGAGTTAGTTAGTTTTAAAGTACAGCACAGTGTTGCTGTATTGCGCCATACATATTGTGAATTCCGGTGAAACTTGCAGTTTTGGGGTGGTTTGACCCCACGATGTAAAGTGCCAACAAATCGACCGAGCCTAATCACAAACTATCTTCGACATTTGATTCCCGGAAAAGATACCTACTAGGCCCTAAGGTTACATAGTATACGTTCAGTACTGTTCATTGTACTACCTTCATTTCCAATCGGAGGTAGTATACTTTAATCAATTGAAGTAATATACAAAACAGGACTACTCTTCTATACAAAATCAATAGAGGGATTTGACGATACTACAAAAGTAGTGCTCTGCTCTATGTTTATGTCCACGCATGTTCTTCTCGGTGTTAGGATAAAATAGCAATCTGAGTGGGTCCAAAGTGACGGACTTACGAACTTCTCGTAGCAGAGGACACGCGAGGCATCGGGACCACCGTCGACGATCGCGGCGATGAAGCAGTAACGACGCCCCTTGTGCCGTGCCTTGGGCTTAACGTCCAGCTTGTCTTTCGGGTCGTACATTGATATGTCGTTCTTCTTGTAGTGCTGGTTTATGAAGCTCTCGTCCAGGTACACAACTACTCGACGGTCCGTCGTGTTCACCACTTGAGTTGCTTGGCACATGTATCTGACGTAGAGGTCACGCAGCATGGTATTTGCCTCGGTCAGGGCCAGCGACTTTTTCCCACGTTTCGCGCCACGAAGGTATCCACAGTGCTTTACGAACTTTTAGACGCATCGAAGCGCGGTCGTTGACTGTGTCTTATCGTGGGTGTCGTAGATGAGGACGCCGGTTTCCAAAAGAAACGCCACTACGTCCTTTGCAATGACACGAGCGCGGAGTTGGCGCTTGTCGCGGACGAACTTTTGGATGGACGATATGACAGCGATCGTCCGTGGGATTCGGGTCTTGCGTGGGGCTTGGTTAGATGGGGGACTGACCGAGACTATGGTTTTGGTGTATTCGCGCCACACGGATTGCACTGTTTTTCTCGAGCGGCCAAGGATTTCAGCGATTTCGAACGTTACGTCGCTTGATTGTCCATTAGTTGCATTTACGTGTCTGAAATACGCATTGACTCGAAGCACGTCAAGTCATTCCTCTTGGGTAAGTGCCCTTGGTCGGTTGGATTGTACACAGCGGCAAACTTCTTCGTACATGGCAGCATCCACGTCGGTTGTCAACATCGCAAATGGTAGGTGCACATTCCAATCACATTATAGATGAGAACAACTGGCTCTAAAGGCTAGACGGACTAGCTATTGGCTAGCCAATCAGGACACGGCATCCTAATGATGTACCGTAGATATGGCTGACTATCTATTATCTGAGGAAAAGCCTCTAAAAGACACAAAAACCTCCTACTAGCTGCAGCCAATGCTGCTACCTGAGGCTTCAGGGCAGTAGTGATGTTCATGACAGAACAGGGTGTTCTGACTATATTGTTGCGATGGCGTCATGGGTATCACAAAACACGAAGTGAAGCTCATCTCAGCGCTGATTGTTACGATGGGAAGTAATTTCCAGCTCACAAACCTATTCTATGGTGGCAAACTCGTGCACCCGTCCGCTATCGATGTAGAATCTAGCAGTGCACAAGTACAGTACTCCAGCGCTAAGGTTCTTTGCAGTGAATTGTCACGCTGCGATGTCCACTGAGTGTTTACTATACTTTGGTGTCGTTGGCGAGCAAGAGCCGAGGTAAGTATGCCTGATGAATGGCTTGTGTTTCGCAAAGCAAAGTACTACGTAGTAACTATTTGTAATTTTGCCCGAACAGGGCCATTCCTCCACGTAATACAGTGCACTAGTATGCTTACTAGTAAGTTACTTACTGTACTGTAGCCACCCGCCAACAAAATGGACGTGTATACAGTACATCTGTACCGAATCACCAATATATTACTACATAGTAGGCCTCTGGACCAATTACACAGTTTTTGCTCAAACAGTGCAATATATTGGAATCATATCGAGATATTTCGCATTTTGTGCCTCAACTGACGATATATATACGATAAAATTATCTACTGACTCTTTGGCTGAAAGATTGACAACTACACCAGTGATCAAGAAACCTCGTAATTTACTCATCTACTTGTCAAATACTTCGAAGTATGGTGCACGTCAACTAAAACCTTCCAACTGGCCAAATCCACGACTGCAGGTTTTATTGTTTAACGTACTAAAATTGTAGTTAAACCTTAATCGTTCATACGTTAAACCCTGATTTCATGCGTTTTATTCCTCAGGAGGTAGGTTAAAGCTGTGGAAACATTCCGGATACTACCTACG